TTTTTTTTTTTTTTTTTTTTTTTTTTTTTTTTTTTTTTTTTTTTTTTTTTTTGTTCATTTAGGGTTGATTTGAAGTTTTCTAGGATTTGATACCTTTGAGATGATTAATAATCGTACTTGTTATGAAATCTGTAGATATAAGTGAAAATGGCGGTTCCTTTGCTGACGAAGAAGATCGTGAAGAAGAGGACCACCAAGTTTAAGAGGCCACAGAGTGATCGAAAGATCTCCGTTAAGGTATTTTAGTTTATTATCGGTATTTTCATTTAATTTCTGTTTATATGTTATTATTCTCTCTATGGAAGATGATGAGATGTATTGTCGCCCCAGTCTTACTTGTACCAATGGGTGCAAGATGGTGATTGACACAGTATCTGATTCTTGTTATTGTTAATTGCTCATTTAAATTTAGAAGATATGGTAGCTAGGTTGTGTTTTTGCATTTTTCACACATTTGATTAAGCTTAATAACGTTAGAAGGATCTGATGATTTAATTCACCCCAGACCCGACTAGTGGCCTCGGATACATTATGGTGATTCACAGATCGACTATTTGATACTTACTTCGACATAGCTTTTAAATCAGTTTTGAAGTTGAATATGGAATTTATTTCGATTGGGTTTTTGAAACAATTAGTAATTTGCCGATGTCCTGGCTCACCGTCTATTGTCATAAGATGGTGATGTTAATGGAACTGTTTTCTGATCGCAATACAGTATGAAATCATGATTTCTCCGACTATGTGCATCTCGTGTAATCTTTTTAGTTTCTAAGCACATTTTTCTCCAATATATACAACACGGCGTGATGATGATAACCCATCATTTCTGTAATTGAATGATGAATATTTTCATGCACTACCATCTGATCTATGTTGTATATTAAATTCCATGTTAGTTTTACGCCATTTTTTTCTCATATTCGTTTGTCAACTCTTTACGCATCGATTTTCTGCTGCAATCCATGATGCAAACTACCCAATTTCTGATTTTCTGTGATTATTTACACATATCACCATCTTTCGGCTGAGGTTGCAGTTAAAAAGTATTTTTGAAGTTAAAAATAAATATCATCATTTCTGTATTTGAGACTTTGCCACCTCATATACTATGTTTATTGCACTTTATATAAAATTTACATCTTTATTTGCATGTTAACTCTTCACTCAATTGTGTCTTGCTGCAATCTGTGATGCAAACAAACCCAAATTACTGATTTTCTGTGATTAATAACAGTTATCACCATCTTTCGGCTGAGGTTGCAGCAAAAAGTAATACGTTCATAGTTCTAGGGTCATTTACAGTTTTCTTTTGCTATAAACTGAGATTGCCCGTGGTATCTAATGTCCGGACTTTATTTAATAGCTGGACATTTCGTTTTTTAGGGCATAGAGTAACTATATACAGGTCTTGCGACACGGTTAGCTTAAAAACTTATAAGCTCTCTGTTACTAAAACCCTGCATACAGATATTTTTATTTTTTCAATCTCCTTTGATCTTCGTTAGACAATATCGTCTGTCTTTGTTCACTTATTTTTAATTTTATCTGACAGGAAAACTGGAGAAGGCCAAAGGGTATCGATTCCAGAGTAAGGAGAAAGTTCAAGGGATGTACTCTGATGCCAAACATTGGCTACGGGACTGACAAAAAGACCCGCCACTACCTTCCTAATGGGTTCAAGAAGTTCGTTGTTCACAATGTCAAGGAGCTTGAAGTTCTGATGATGCACAACAGGTTTGTGACGACCTCTCACCATCATTAGCAATTATAAGGGAGTGATTAATGGATTGTCTGATCCGTTTGTGTTGTTACTGCAGGACTTACTGTGCCGAAATCGCCCATGACGTTTCCACAAGGAAGAGGAAAGAGATTGTTGAGAGGGCAGCTCAACTTGATGTGGTAGTTACCAACAAGCTTGCTAGGTTGCGCAGCCAAGAGGATGAATGAACCATTTAGATCCACTTTTCATCATGTTTTGTAGTGAGATTTCGTTAATATATACAATTTTTGTTGGATTTATGAGATTTTGACATTAATGTGTTATGAATTCACAACCATCTCTTTGACAATATATTTTTTATACTTCAAATTACGACGTTTATCTTCATGAGCTTTTTGGTTCTCTCCGTTTCTTGTTTTAATCGGACGTTTCCTTTGGCAGCATTTTCTTCTTCTGTGTCCAAATCTTTAGAACATTTTAGTGTTCTTGAGTAGTCAGAGGGTGACATGGCAATGGTGTCCATTGCGCCATGTACTAGTCCCATTATGCTAATGTATAAAAAGATAAAAATGGGTGGGTCGACATTGTGCCCCCATTGTGCCATCTTCTTTAACTTGCATCTACATGGGAGGGTTCCTTCTAGAATAGTATTCAAATTTGGATGCATATTTAAGATGTTCTTATCATAAATGATGACTTTTAAGTTGATTTTTGATAAACGTGCCCAAATAGGTAGTGAAGGCTAATACATCGAGTCATGGTATGGCATCACCAAGCATCGATTAGACATGAGTTTTTGGTTAGTACCCATGTCTTGATAGCTATTGTAATGCCTTCAATAAGCTCCTTTCGAATGTTTTGAAGTAGTTTGTAGTTTTGATCCAAAGAAGGGTCCAGCTAAAGTTAATGAGTGAAATTACATGTACATGTATCGTTAATGCCCGAAAGCTTAGTTTCCATACTAGTGAAACGAAAAGGTTAAAAGGATGACATAACTTGTTCGAAGAAAAAGAAACTTGCATACACAAGAACCTAAAAGGATGGCCAAAAGGGGCTTATGCCACTAAGCTATACAGCCTTTCGCTAACTTGTAGTGGGGTTTAGCATATATAAATCCTTGAAAGTTAAGGGAATTTCAGCCCTCAGCCCTATTACCCCTAACGATACTACTTTTCTTAGAATAAAAAATTACCTCGAAAGTTTGACCAGATGAACTCGAATAAATGAACATAGTCTATCTCTTCAAAAGACGAACTTCATCCCACACATACACATTTCTTACTTTTCTTAGAGTAAAATACTTCTTCAAAAAATTTGACAACAATGAACTCGAATAAATGAACGTAGTCTATCACTTCAAAAGACGAACTTCATCCCACACATTTACATACCAAAACATTTCATGAACATTCTTCCATCAAATTCCAGATTCAAAACTAAATTTTTGGTCTGGATGTGAATATTGCCTTTCAGTAATAAAGGTAAGCACATCCATTTTATCCCCTAAGGCAAAGAATATCACTTTCTTAGCTTGTGCAGCAGCAGAATGTACCATTTCAAAAGAGAAGACTTACAAATGTTGGCAAAGAAAGTATTCCCATATCCTTCTTTTGCCTTGAACATGAAGCATTATCCTAACACTTTACAACTCCAAAGACCCCTTTGAACACAGCAGCCTTTGCAAGTAAAGAACCTGAACCTTCCTTCTCATCCCCATTTATAAACCCATCTCTGCCTCCTTACTTCCACATTACATTACAAGTTTTGGGTCTTTTTGTTCTGTTTTTCCTCTTTCACTCAGCATTTTTCTTTCTGATCTCACTGCTCAAATGGCTAATTCACAGATGAAATCCATTGCTACTGTGCTTCTGTTGCTAAACTTCTGCATGTATGTTATTATTTTGGGCATTGGAGGGTGGGCCATGAACAGAGCAATTGATCATGGCTTCATCATTGGTACTTTCCAAATTCTTGATTAATCTCCTTTGTTTGTTTCATCTAGTTCCAGATTTTGAATGTCTCCATCGGATTATCGAGATGAAAACTTCGGTACTATGATCATATCACGGATGGAAATTGAAAAGTGATATGTGTTAGACGAACACGACTCTCCACAATGGTATGATATTGTCCACTTTGAGCATAAGCTCTCATGGCTTTGCTTTGGGCTTCCCCAAAAGACCTCATACCAATGGAGTTAGTATTCCTCACTTATAAACCCATGATCACACCCTAAATTAGTCGATGTGGGACTTCCATCATCCAACACCTCCCCTCGAACAAAGTGCGCCTCCCCTTAATCGAGGCTCGACTCCTTTGGAGTCTTAGTCATTTTTTACTGCCTTCGAGGAGGGGCTTGGCTCCTTTTTCTTTAAGAGTTCTTTGTTCGATATTTGAGGATTCGAGGATTTACCAATCTATTGGCACGACTAAGTTTAGGGCATGGCTCTGATACCATGTTAGACGAACACGACTCTCCACAATGGTATGATATTGTCCACTTTGAGCATAAGCTCTCATGGCTTTGCTTTGGGCTTCCCCAAAAGGCCTCATACCAATGGAGTTAGTATTCCTCACTTATAAACCCATGATCACACCCTAAATTAGTCGATGTGGGACTTCCATCATCCAACAATATGAACTGACACTATGTGTGAGATCGAAGAACGAAACATTCTTTATAAGGGTGTGGAAACCTCTCTCTAACAAACATATTTTAGAAACTTTGAAGGGAAGACCGAAAGGAAAAGCCCAAAGAAGACAATATTGCTAGGAATCACGACTCTCCACAATGGTATGATATTGTCCACTTTGAGCATAAGCTCTCATGGCTTTGCTTTGGGCCACGACTCTCCACAATGGTATGATATTGTCCACTTTGAGCATAAGCTCTCATGGCTTTGCTTTGGGCTTCCCCAAAAGGCCTCATACCAATGGAGATGTATTCCTTTATTTATAAACTCATGATCATTCCCTAAATTAGCCAATGTGGGACTCACTCCCAACAATCCTCAACAAATATCTGCTAGCGGTGGGCTTGGGCTGTTACAAATGTTATCAAAGCCTGGTACCAAGTGATGTGCTAGCGAGGATGCTGGCTCTCAAGGGGGGTGGATTGTGAGATCCCACATCGGTTGGAGAGAGAAACGAAACATTTCTTATAAGGGTGTGAAAACCTCTGCCTAGTAGCATACACGTTTAAAAACCTTGAGGGGAAACCCGAAAGGGAAAGCCTAAAGAGAACAATATCTGCTAACGGTGGGCTTAGGCTGTTACACTGTGTCCATGTCATGTTGTCATTTTTTTGTTTTTGGTTCATTTTGAACATGTTTCTATGTTGCAGCTTGCTGATGGGTGAGAATTTTGCAGGTCCTGGGCTTAAACTTCCAGCACATTTTTCACCAATTTACTTCCCCATAGGGAATGCAGCCACCGGTTTCTTTGTGATATTTGCTTTGTTGGCTGCTGTGTTTGGAGCTGCCTCAGGAATCTCAGGACTTAACCATATTCGGTCATGGAGTGCTGAAAGCTTCGGTGCTGCATCCTCTGCTGCTGTTTTTGCTTGGACTCTCACTCTCCTTGCCATGGGGTATGCATTCCCATCTAATTCTTTAACAGGTTTATCTAAAAGATTCGTAATATATCTAGGAAGACGTTTCAAATACTACACATGGGTTACCGGATATGTTAGTTTAATATTAACCCATTTGATATCTCCGTATCCGAGAATCAACAAACCCGACTCCGCATTGTTCACAAAATTCCGAATCTTCTTTTTTATCTCCAATTACTCGATAATTTCCACAAGCACAAGTCCTCCTTTTTATAGGCCCAAAAATTCTTTCACAAAATAATCCATCTTTTTCAGGTTTAAAGGTTTACTAAAAAGTTTGCATCGTTCTCGTAACGGTCCATGTATTAAAACTTAGTCTTTTTTAGTTCAACATGTGAGAGGATAGGATTCAAACTATTGACTTCATGTTCGAGAATGTGTCTTAGTATGTTGAGTTAAGTTAACGATGACCCATTTTAGAATCTCGACAAAGTTTTTCGTACGTGTTTTCTTTTAGTTATTACATGAAAAGGAAAATAAGAAAAGAGGAGCATAACTTGCTTTGAAAGTTTTGACTGGACTCTAAGGCTTTGTTATTTATGCAGCTTTGCTTGGAAAGAGATTCAACTGGATCTCAGAAACTCAAGACTGGTGAGGAAAATAAAGATTTCTTTTCCCAGCTGCAATTTATCATCACAAATCTAATCTAAAACAGTTCCAATTCAAACTATATTGATAGGACAAGATTTTGTTTGTGTTTTA